GAGGTACTCCATCAATATTACACGTGCACAGTCATACACACGCACTCTCGCACTTACTGTATCTGTACTGCTGCTGCTCTAACGGAAATAATAATCGATTACTCTGCACAGTTGCTAAAAAAAGTACATTTGAATACAATATCGTATTTTGACATTTCTCCTAGTTAGATCCAGGTGTAGATACACATGCACACACACACACATACAGTGTGACGACAGTATCCATTTCGAAATGTATCTAAAAACCCCAAAAGGTTTTGCAGCATGGTCATATATATACATACAGTATCTTCGAGCATTTTGATCGATCACCATACTTACTATAAACCAAATTAGGTGCGAATGGTACTTTACCCTTTTCAAACCGAGAATATAGATGCATTGCGATTAGTAAAATGGCTCAAGATGCAACCCAAATATCATAGCATATATAACAAGCCAATCAGCCTTCCCAGCCGCCCTCAGTTTCCTTAATTTTGTGAATTCTAAGCCTTTACTTTCTTGCTTTCCAGAACCGAATGCAGGAGAGTTTAAAGCTTTTTGACTCTATCTGCAATAATAAGTGGTTTACAGACACGTCAATCATCCTGTTCCTCAACAAGAAAGATTTGTTTGAAGAAAAAATCAAGAAATCTCAACTGTCAATCTGCTTTGCTGAATACACAGGTGAGCTAAATGGCAATTATGCTGTCCACAGATCTAGCTGATTAGCCGGCGTTACGTTACACTCAGAGCGGGTAATACGATCATCAAACTAGTGCATAAATAGCAAATATTAGCATGAATTAGGGGGTTTTGAGATAGTAGATTAGCATCAATCCATAGTAGTTGCAGAACCAAAAGAACAAGATCTGTGAAAGCGGTGAGAATGAATCACGACCAAAATCAATTGTGAAGTGTTTTATTTCTTCGTTAATCAATAAAAATCTTTATTTGTTATTAATAAAAGCAGGAATTTAATAACAATGAGAGATGATGTGATTTCAATGGTCTTGTCAGCTTGGCTATAGATTGTTATGGTGGCATTCTTGTTTACGTACAGGTGCCCAGGATTACACTGAAGCATCTGCATATATCCAGGCCCAGTTTGAAAGCAAGAACAAGTCGCAAACTAAAGAGATATACTGTCACATGACATGCGCAACCGACACAACAAACATTCAGTTTGTGTTTGATGCAGTTACAGATGTGATCATTGCCAACAATCTGCGAGGGTGTGGCTTGTACTAGTGCGGCACACGTTGTGACGCCCGTAATTGAGACGTCAGTGCCATCTGGTGGTCGCGTATCCAATATTGTCAAATGTGTCAATATCATAGACAATTTTAGGACGTGGTGTTGAGGTTGAGTCACAGTTTGGGTCTAGCGAAAGGCACGTACTGGTTTGGGCAACAGGCAAGGCTATTTGTACTATATACACCGTATATAAGCAATAGAACATTTAGAGTATTTTATTTATTGTTATATACACGTTAGTTAAGAATGCGAAGATGAGTATTCAGTGAGTCCAGTCCAGATGCTTAGTTATGATGGTTGAACCCCGAATTTTAGACAGGGTTTTTGGAAGGTGTATATTGCATTAAAACCATATTCAATCGTCTAGTCTTGTTGAAGCAATTTACACAATGACCTTAATTCTGTCGAAATGACTCTAGGAATTATGGTTAGGGACAGCCAAGTGCAATGATGAAAGATTTTTGATGTTTTATTAGTCGTAATGAATGCTTGCATAAATCATGCCTTTGTCGTTGGTGAGGATTTAGGAATGCACAAGGCAAAGAAGCCAACGACAACAGGGATGAAGAAGCGGTGGCATTTTGTAAATACAGTGTCATGTCAACTTAGTTTGCTGAACCAGTGTACGTACGTGTGCGCCTAGAGCTACCGATCGCATAGTGGTTACATACTGAGTGTTTCAAGAGTTCTGGAATTTATGATTGCTTTTAGGTTTGGAGAAAGTTGCCAGTAACAAATACGTTGTTGAAGTTTTTAAATGCCGGAAATCTAACTGCAGGGTTTAACCATCCCTAGAATGCATGACTGTTAACTGGAAACAGAAAACCAAAGATTGGTTCAGTCTGATTGTCACGGTAGCCTGCTCTCTCCCCAGCACGCAGCTGGCAGCTTATACGCAAACGATTTGCATCTGGAGCAAGTGCAGGGTGTATATAGGATGTTGTATGTGTCTTTAGGTATATGAAATTGGGTAACGTAGAGCACTACATATTTTTGTGTCCATGTTATTTACCTAACAAACGCTTTTTGTCACACCACAAGGAGGAAACGAATCAAATAGCGGCGCGTACGCCACAAACAACACACGGAATTACAGTTTTGTGATAATTCTATTAGCATGGAAGAAAGCTGGCCGCCGGCGCATTTCGCAAAGGAAATAAACCTGACAAGCAGGTGTTTTGCTATCGAGATTTCCCGTTTCTTACAAATATCTGTGTACTCCATAAGGATATAGTTGCTTGTCGTTTAGTAACGGCTGTTTGTATCGACGAACGAAGTACCGTGTAATTGTTTTTGTGTGTGCGCGTGTGTATGACGCTGCGATTTCAGCTCATCTATGTATGTCTTGCAAGTATAGGCGTAGCCATATGTTCGCATACAAGCACACGTCGCAATGTGACCGTCTTGACTGTGGCACGTCTGCAGGGCGTGAGTAGGTGATCTCAACAGAAACTCTACCCTAGATTTCCCCGAGTGGCAAGGTCCGTCAATTATTGCTGGTGTGTGTATGTGTGCGCGCGCGTACAGGCTTACCTTTGACTGTAGTTGCTGTTACCTTGCGCTGGCCGTCTTGTGTTGGGGGGGGGGGTCAGGTAGACTCCCTACATCTCTCCACATACAGTCAACCTCATATATACCGTACTCGGCGGGACCACAATAATGGATGCGATTTATATTAATATACTGTGCATGTGTGCTACGTATGTGATATGAGGTACGTATATATACACGCATCGTCGCACAGTGGAGATATGTTCAGTACACGAAAAGCACGCGAAGGACGCGTCCTATGCGCGTTTTCTGTCCACAGTTATTTTAACGTGTGTATCGCCTGTCTAATGATTGCGTTTGGTTGACCAGTTCGTTTATACCAAGTTCTAGTATTTTCATAAGTACATACGACCGCGCGTGACCTGTATGCACCAGTCATGTCACGTCGGCCGATCTTTAACGTGTTCACAAGCCTTGGTTAATTAAACATACGCCGAATCACGCAATTTCCCCTGCCTGCCTCTTGAAGCCTTTTCTGGCATCGGGATTATTAATTACTTCGTCGATTTTTCCATCTCGTGGATATTTTACTTTTTATTCATAGACAGGAGGTATCTCTGTACACGAACTGGGGTTTTCACGTTCGCTATATGCCGGCCATGTCTGTAATGACTGTCTGCGATGACCGCGACTACACTTCACCACGAAATGCAGTCTGCGGTGAATCGGTGACTACGCCAGTTTCGAGTACCTAACGCGCTTCCCTACTGACGAATTACAACGGGTCACTGTAGTGACATTCACGGTATAGGCGAGTGTACGATGTATACTGACGCGGTATGTGTAAGGTTGACTGTGGCACGACAAAGCCTGTACTCATGCGCTGTGAATTATATGATGTCCGCTGTGGTAATCCGACTGCGCATTTCAAACGATTATCTCCCGATGCATACCGTCATTGGGATGAGTACTCTGTTATCAGAGGTTTAACCTGAGAACTGTTTCTGTTCGTGCAAACCAATCTGTATTATGTGTTACGTGTTTAAATTGTACATGCATGTCTGTCTTAGACTAAATATATAAATGACACATAGACCGTGTTAAGGTGAAATTCTACACTTCGTAGAGCAGGCAGGTTGATTAGGCATGCTGTATTACAGTTCATGTCTAGCCTGGCTGCGATCGTAGATCCGTTATTGTAGTTGTATCGATTTCTGGAACGACTTCTGACCGTATAGAAACGGTCCCTAGTGATCCTTATATGCAGCGAAGCAGTGATTAGATTAGCGGTATTAAATCTTGATATATTGCCGCACAATCAGTGTGACACAACTGGTTGCGTTGCTAGGGAAATGCGACCCGCGAGTTGTGCCATCCCGGCGCTGTAAACTACTGTACTGCGGCTCTAACTGCGATTATCAGTGCAGAATCAAGAGTTGGTCGGCACCCGCAAAGCGAATATCACTCGTTCGGAACTCATAGAAGGAGAACAGGGGGGGAAGGCGGGGGCGGCGTCTCTCGGCGAGAAGGCAAGGCAAATGCTAGCGCTGAAGAGGTTGCAGTTGTATTGCTGCTGAGATGCTTCGCAAACGCGCGTGCCAAGAGTCGGCGAATTATACCAAAATGGCGAATGATGGTGGCCCGAGGGAGCGCACGCCGCTGAAAATTGAATGTTACACGCACGAAGCCATTTTGTAATTACACACAAGTGTCTCCCCGGGAAGCTTTGCAGATCGTTAGCATCATATCTCCGCAGCCTCCGCTTTACGGAGAAAATGTTTAATTAACGGCGTAAAGCCAGAGCTGCTTCTCGGCATATTTCCCGGGTATCTAATTCGACACCCCTCTCGACAGCCGCATTCTCGCCTAGGGTAGAACGTAGACGGTGTTCCGGTCACCGACCTTCTATGTTTGGCGGCTAAACCCGGCAGCCGGTGTGTCCGCCGCCCTCCTGCCGAATCAGATCAACATAGATAGATGTATATCGCATAATATAATGCGCTAGCTTTTTAACGAGGGCCTTGCTCTGCCTATGCGAGAAACCGAGAGGCCATGCGTTTCGAGATGGCTGTGCGATGTCGTGTTCATGCCTCCTTGTCGTCGATGATCAGCGGGAATTGAGCAACAGCACACGTTCCTAATCATGCTTGTAAATGTTTGTATCGTACCCGAGTCATAACGGAGAACCTGTGTTTCTGTCATGAATGGCTATTTTTGTGAATTATTTGAGTACTTGTATATCATGGTACGCACGACAACTTGTTTGCCGTTACCCGTTTCAACATTTGTTGTCGCGTTCAGACAAATTGTGCAATGGGTATTATGTATCGTGTGGATAAATAAAGTGCGTAGATTTTTGCTGAAAGTTTGCCATGAGCTATAGGCAATTGTCATGGAGAATATGATATTTAATTATTGTCTGTTTAAACCATAATTAGCCCGTCACATACCTAGTGTACACTGCTCGTACCGTTCTTTGTATTCCGCTAGGAGATGTATTTATTCAATCCGTAGGCTGCAGCTACCATATAGTGAAATAATTCCCAGTACTACTATCGATACAATCTGTTACGTACGGCGTGGTTATCGCGCTGCGAGCGCAGCGCATTACTTGTGTTTTAGTAGCTCGGAATCCGATGTTTAGCTTTGTGATAAAACGCACACAGGCTGCTGCATCGATTCTCTTTCGAGATTCCCTCCGTCGGTGTGCACATGACTGAGCGAACTTGCGTTACAGGTTTGTGCTGTCGAGATGCCATTGGGGTACGAAGCAAACTGCAGTGTCTAAGGAGCGGCCTTTCAGTCGCACAATATTGCTCTTGGTACCATTTGTCTCTTATGTTTAAGCTTCTGTCTCCTTTGCCTTTTCACATTTAGTAAAATTTTGACTAAAACCTTCCCGTTTTCTGTGTATAGTATATTCCGAATTTATTGATTGCCAGATGTGCACTAAACATATTTCAATTACATACAATAAGGATGAATATCAGTGTTTGCGACAAGTTAAGAGAACTATACAGTCTTCGAGTTCGCGCGTGGTTTCATTCGCGCGCGCGTCTGCGTGTGCGTGCGTGCGTGCGTGCGTGCGTGCGTGTGTGAGGGGGGATAATGTGCGTGAGTGTGAGGTAGAGCAAGACGTGTACGCGAGAAGGAACTAAGGCGGAAAACTGCGGAAGGTGAAAGACAACTCACGATTGCACGAACGAGAGCGGGTAAGAGAGGCGCGTGGGCGGTGTGGTAAAGCAAGCGAACGACTAGCTAACGGGAACGAGGAAATGATGAACAGAGAATGAGTGGGGAAAGGGTAGGGTGGGGTGGGGGGGGGGCGTTCGCGTAGTAACAAAAGCGCCGAGGGGCTCTTGTTCAGATCAGGACATTGGGTGAACCGGCAGCTGCGGTCACCGCGAGACTTATTAAACGAACCGACAACTGACGAACAGCATGTCGCCATGGTTAATCTATCGTGCTGCGAGCTCTCCTTAGCGTGGCCAGCATGTTCGTGCGCCTCATTTTCAGGCGCTTGCTCGCCAACAGCCTAATATACAATATAGTTATACAGATCTTCTCATATTAAACTTATCTGGCACCATCTGGTTATAGGGTAAGGTTCTGTAGAGGAATAGAGAGGTCATTCCGTTCACTCTTCACATGCTTTAACAGTGCATACCTCCGCGAGCGTGTAACATGTATGTGTATAACAGCTGGCTCGCTGCTGGCTGCTGCTGACTGGACGCCCTAAGGCGAGCTGCTGCTGACTGGACGCCCTAAGGCGAGCTGCTGCTGAATCGATCGCGCCAACGCTACACACACACACACGAACACACACACGAAACCGATTACATGACCTCCGTTGCGCGGAGGTAATAACTGTCATGAGATCGGCTGCGGTAGTTTTTACACAGGGGATATAGTTATGCGAGCCATTTGGGCAGTAGCCTGTTGTAGAGCAATTTTGGGGGTTTAATGTTAATATTCAATGGTAAATTTGATACTTTATTTTGCGAAATTTTAATCATGCACGAGAGGATTATAAAGAAAGTAGTTACTTTTTCTAGCTGAATTCGAAGAGGTAGAAAATTCAATAGAGTGACAATCGATAGTTCACTGTATATCGATTTGTGCTGAGCGAACTGCATAAACCACAGTACAATAGAGTATGGACACAGGCACTTGGAGCGTTTCAATAAAATATAATGCTAAATAAATACGAAATCTATTTACTGTACGTATAGTCGCTGTTGCTACTGTCGCCATTATAAACGATCGTATACTTGACAACGACTGTGTAGACTTGGCGGCGTGAACACGAGACTATTCACACGCGCGGATTACAGCTTTTGACAAACTTACCGGCGATATAAATTGACTGCTAGCAATAGTGCCAGTGCAGAGAGGCGGGCTTTCTTGCCACAGGCACTTGAAGCGTTTCAATAAAATATACTTCTAACTAAATACGAAATCTATTTACTACCAAATTCTTAATGTTTCTATACTCTCTTTCACCTATTATTGCCGACCATTTCCTGCAAATGCCGTCCAAATGCTCACCTGTAACAAACGCTGGCTGCCGCCATAGTTATGTGTCAGTGTGCAGCGGCAGCCATGGCGGCAGCCAGCGTTTGTTACAGATGACGCAAGAAAAACGTAGAGAGAGAAGGAGAGGCATTATAGGTAAATGTTAATTAAAGCAGGTATGTCCACATAAAATAGTATGCGTGTTTCCGGTTACCCGACCGGCCCTACATATTTCCCGCGCCTCTAGCGTTTTTTTGCATTTCTCCAAAAACGGCCACCGCTCGTCCCTAATACGTACATAACGTATACATCACGACTTTATTACTACTTTTACCTCAGGTGTGTGTGTGTGTGTGTGTGTGTGTGTGTGTGTGTGTGTGTGTGTGTGTGGCGCGCGCGTGCGCGTGTGCGTGTGGCGGTTTGGGGGGGGGGGGGGGGTTTTTTTTGGGGGGGCGCGTGCCGCGTGGCGCGTGTGCGTGTGTGTTTAAAGCGTGGTGGTGGTGTGCGGGCCAGCACAGGCGCGCGTGGTATGAAAAGAGACAACTCTAACAATTACTAGTTATTGGGGTTGTATAATGACGAGTGAATTAATATTAATATCAATTGTCTAAATTATGCTGTTGTGTTTCTCGTTTTCCCATTGATTTTATAAGGATCGCTTTTCGCTAGAACGTCGAGACCAGAACGCTAGAACGCTAAAACGCTAGACCCATCTTTTTCGCTAGAAACCATTTGACAATGCGCACTTTTGAAAATATAGCCATTATTTTGTCCATAATAATAAAGAATAATATAAAGATAATATAATATATTATATATATCATATAAGAAGATCGAAATGCCCCTAAAACGCAATGTATATATTATATATATATATACCTACGTTTCAAGCAATGGTAAAAACAAAACAAGTAATGATATCCGAGGTTGGGCAAGAGTCAGTGTTTCATTTTTCTTCTTTTTATAAAACGAAAACATAATACACACATACGATCTCAACAAATCACGAATTTGACGTTTGGGTGGGTGCATAGCGTGTTGTATTGCTAGTCAGGAGTCCGGGGTTCAAATCTTGTCAATTACCATAGTAAAATATTTTCTAACTGCTGTTAAGCTAAATATAACACATACATCTGAGCTGATCATGTAAGGAATGGTATGTTTGGGTCCGTCCGTAGCGTAACGGGATTGTATTCAATAATCCTGGGTTCAAATCCAGGCAATCACCAAAGTCAAATATTCTCAGACTGCCGTTGGAAGAAATGTAAACATACATTGACGTTGCACTTGGCAAGGATCCTCGCCTAATAATGTAAATATTTTGAAAGTGGTGAAGGCCGTGGCCTTGAGCTCAAGGCTATGGCATTGGCCTACTAATGTAAAACTTTTAAAACTTAAAAATGTGGGTCAAGACCATGACCTACTTGTGAAAAACGTTTAAAAATGAAAAAGTAGGTCAAGGCCATTACCTTGAGCTCAAGGCCATGGCATTGGACGAGGTCTTGGTCAATGTCAGTGTTAATGTCAACACCGCCAGACAACAACAACCCAAACTACCAATGATCTACTGCAAACTTCTCAACAGTGTATGTTACAATTTCTTTGATGATTTTTCGGAAAAGTATTGTTGATAGCCTTTGAATAATTAACACCATATATAAAGAGGAATCTCGGGCGTTTTATTTAGAGTATATTTATTTGAAAGCATTTCAATCGTGAACGCACATGCATGGAATTACAATCAGGGTGCTACTTGCTCTAGTTATAGAGCTAGTTGTTCTAGTTCCAGAGCTAGATGTTCTAGTTCCAGAGCTAGATGCTCTAGTTCTAGTGCTACTTGTTCTAGTTCCAGAGCGACTTGTTCTAGTTCTAGAGCTAGTTGTTTTAGTTCTACTGCTACTTATTCTAGTTCCAGAGCTACTTGTTCTAGTTCTATAGATAGTTGTTCTAGTTTTAGAGCTAGTTGTTCTAGTTCTATAGCTAGGTGTTCTAGTTCTAGTGCTAGTTGTCCCAGTTGAATGAGCATGCATGAAATGAGAATTTCTGACAACGGGCCGCAGTCGTACACTTAAAACGCGAGACCATATGCTCATACATATGGGATTAAACTTACAATAAACGATTAGTATAAAATACAACAAATTTGTCTAAAAACACGTGGAATATCAATATAAAACACTGTAACCGTCAGTTACGATGGTTTGTCTTGGAAGTCCCCCGACGCGAATCGGTGTGCATCATGCTCCCTCTGCCTCCTCCGCTCCTGCTTCTCATCTTCTGCGGCATTCCTCTACCAGGGCGTAAGAGAAGTCCTCACACTACATCAAGGCAACGATTTTTTATATCATTAACTATGAGGATCTTGATCTTGATCTGGATCTGGATAGTTTTCTGCGTAGCCCACGGTTACGTGGATAATAAATCAGGGTGGTGTGCGCTTAGATGTTGTCGTCAGCGGCAGTGGAACAGATAAGGTCTATCTCGGCCTCAGTACGCTGGTTCCACTGTTGAATAGTTCTCGGAAAGTAGGAATGGCGAAACTCTTCGGTGTTGACTCGCACTGTCTGAAGTTTCTGACTGTTCTTACTGCGTGTTCGCTGGGGTCCAGGTTTGGTGTACTGATCTGCTGGTACCGCCACTGAAGAAGACATTATCTTCTTCATGAATGCTATGCGCTGATCGCTCCGCCGCTAAGTAAGAGAAGGCCAATTCAGAGTTCCTATCATTTCAGTAACACTACCGTCACGCCGGTAGCCTCTACATACGAACCTGGCTGCCCTTCTCTGAACTTTTGCCAACTTATCAATGTTTTTGACCAGGAACGAATCCCAAACAATAGATGAGAATTCAAATTTTGAGCGAACTAATGACTTATATGCAACCTCGATCTTTGAGTGTTTTTGGAGCAAATTTCAAGTTGCGGCGTAGAAAACCGAGCGTGCTGTTTGCCTTTGCGCAAATCGCACTGATATGGTCGTCCCATTTTAGGTTGAAGGAGAAGTTTAGGCCGAGGTACTTAGTGGTGGTCACTTCCTCTAAGATATGCTTATCCAACTCGTAGAAGAAGGAAAATGGAGTACTAGCTCGTCGATGGATTCGGAGTATGTTACACTTTTTTGTGTTGTATCGCATGCCCCAAGTTGATGCCCAGTCGTGAAGGCGTTCCAGGTCCCGCTGGAGCTCTATCTGGTCAGCGATCGATCTGATCTCTCTGTAGATCAGGCAGTCGTCGGCGAATAGCCTCACAATTGGGATACGACGGCATCAGAAAGGTCATTAATGTGGAGTAAGAAGAGTGGAGGGCCCAATACAGTGCCTTGAGGTATCGCAGACTCCACCTTCACCTTATTCGATGACACTCCATCAATGACGACTTGTT